TTCGTACAAAGTGCGTGAGCTGCGACGTCGGACTCTGCATTTCGGAATTTTTTCGGCAGTACCATACGAAGGCCACATTACCATAGATGACGCAGGGGGGAAGGCTGTTTCCTCATGAAGATGGTGAACATATATCACGTAAGTAGAGCAAAAATTTAATTTTAAAAAAATCTTTACACGCGTGCAATGCGCGACATCATATGATGTCGTTCTTAAATTTGTCCTTACTTTTAACGTCATATGACGTCCCTAGATTACATTTGATCATGCAGGAATGAAGGCTGTCTCATGATAAAGGTGGTGACCAAAAATCATGTAAATAGAACAACAATTTATATTTTTAATATAATATTAAAAAAAACCTTACACGCGTGGAATCCGCGATATCATATGATGACGTTTGGCCAGCTGCCCTAACTTTTAACGACATCATATGATGACGTTCGTCCGATAAAGGTTAATACATTTTTTAAGACTTCTACAATTTAATGATCAAAACAAAAATATCCCAAACTTAAAAATTGTACAATAAGAAGAAAAACTAGTAAATTACTTACCAACTACACCAGTGGTGCCATCTCCAATTTCATCATCCTGTGACTGAGACAGCTGCACCATAAGTTTAGCAATCTCATGCTCAACATCCATAAGTTTCAATATCGTAGCTCCATCATTTGTAACTGTGACATCCCCATCTGGACTAACCATCATCTTATCCAAGCCTTTCGGTCCAAGTGATGTCCTTAATGTGTTGGCTATTGAACGTCCTGCCAATATGTGTGACTGCCAACATACCACATACTTTCATTTCAGCAAACCGATTACCATACATTTTGCTACAGATGAAGATTCTCAGCTTGTTCTGGTAATAACAAAATATTTTTCATGAGAAAGGCAAAGCCTGACCCAACATAAATACCTTTCATAAAAATTCTGAAAGGGAATCGAAAAGATAAAACAGGTGACAACTGATTCTGATAATATACTGCAGTATGAGCTGAAATGCTGGGGAAATACCCCCATAAACCCTTCACATGGTGATGTAACAAGGGGACCACTGTGACATAACAAGGGGACCACTGCTGTAACACAAGGCAACAGGGAACGGTATAAAATGCCGGCTGAGCAGTATGTCAGGACAGTGAGTGATCAGGAGTGACACAGTGTGGATCATGGAGTTTCCGACTGTAGTGAAAGTCTAACAGTCGCCGAGAGCAGGAGAAATAATTGTGATAATGCCGACGGCAGTAACTGTGAGACTGTAAATTGTGTTATTGTGAGAGCGAGTGTTCAATTAATTCGCTATATCAAATAAGGCGTGAAGTTACTTGTCGCGTGATATACACCCAACACATGACAATTTGCTGTCATAGAAGTGGGATTGCACTTAAACACGTGACCAACAGGATACAAACTTAAACACGAAGATCACAAAAAAAAAGATGGATATACAGCAGATGTTGGAACTCCTCCTGGCCAAGATGGGAATACAAAGGCCATGGAAGAAAAAACAGAAGCCATCCGAGCCAAAATGAGAGCAACCCAAGCAAGGACGGCCGCCATCTGAAAAGGGATGGGCACCAACCCCAAGGAGATATTGGCCGAATTTAAACCCGAAATGGACGCAAAGACAATGGCCTGCCAAGAGATGGAGGCACGTCTAGAAGAAGAAGAGCAGACCTCGGTGGAAATGAAACCTGATGTGGCACAACAAGACAAAGTCCCCAATGAAGATGCTGTAGTGAAACCAGTCAAAGGACAGAAGAGGAGGCATAAGGGCAAGAAGCAAGCTGCAGAGCGATGCGAGGAGCCAAAGGAACTGACTCGAGGAATTTGTGGATCCCGGAGGAAGTTGGCTGTCACCTGCAGGAATGTATCCCGTCGCGCAACAGTGGCACGATGTAGGAGAGATGTGTTCAAGAAAGAACGGACCCAAAATCAGGATGGGTGCCAGAAGTAATGTGTTGCCGATCCCAGAAGGATGAACCGCTGTGCAGGAGTGGCACAGCGCAATGGACACATCATTGGGAACAACCAGACTAGGAACAATGTTGNTGGTGGAAACGAAACCTGAGGTAGCACAAACAGAAGAAGTCCCCAAGGAAGATGCCATTGTACTACCGGTCAAAGGATGGAAGAGGCAGTATAGAGGCAAGAAGCAAGCTGCAGAGCAATGTGAGGAGCCAAAGGAACTGATCCGAGGAATTTGTGGATCCCAGGGGAAGTTGGTTGCCGCCTGCAGGAAGGTATCCCGCCGTGCAACAGTAGCACAACGTAGGAGAGATTCTTTCAAGAAAGAACGAACCCAAAATCAGGGTGGGTGCCAGAAGAAATGTGTCACCGATCCCGGAAGGATGACCCGCCATGCAGCAGTGGCACGGCGCAAGGGACACATCATCAGGAACAACCAGACTAGGAACAAGGTTGCAAGAGGAACCCTCAGAGGGTGGAGATGTCAGGTGGAACCAGAGGGCAGCATTGGAGTGAAGACTGAACACACAAGATGGCGGCTGCATCCTGGGAACAAGAGAACAGCCAGCCAAACCCTCAGGAAGACCCTAGGGCTGGATATCAGGCAACAAGCAGTAGAGATTTCCAGCGGATTACAGGACATCAAAACTGGACCTTGTGGAGGGGTCGACCCCCTCCAAAACGAAAAAGAAGGAGAGCACAGAAGAGGAGCCAGTAAATTAGAAGCACCGGCCTACCCGGCATTAATGGAGAATGAAAGTGGTGAGTGAATGTGATACAATGGATCGATGGACGCTGGAATTCTTCGGGACGAACAACCATAAGAAGGGGGCAGATGTAGCAGTTGGAGAATGGACAAAGGGAAGAAAAGGAACAGGGATACACCGTTAGGCAATTCGGGACGAACAGCCTTAAGGAGGGAGCAGTGCGACGTACTTGCGCTATGGAAGACACCCTCTGCCCCCCTCCCCCCGTGGTGACATAACAGCACTTCCCACTGTGACGTAACAAGCGGACCACCGCTGTAACACAAGGCAACAGGGAACGGTATAAAAAGCCGGCTGAGCAGTTTGTCAGGACAGTGTGTGATCAGGAGTGACACAGTGCGATTCGTGGAGTCACCGAGTGCAGTGAAAGTCTTAACAGTCGACGAGAGCAGGAGAAATAATTGTGAGAATTGTGTGATTGTGAGAACGAGAGTTCAATAAATTCGCTATATCAAATGAGGCGTTAAGTTACTTGTCACGTGACATATTATGCATGCTCACTGCATAGATTGCTGCCTTTCCTCTTCCACCCAGTGGGGCTATGACAAAGAGTGAAGTTACTGGACACTGTGACTCAAGAATTGCCAATTCGGCTCATTCTTGCATTAGATACAACTAAGTGCAAGGGGAAGTTTTCTTCTTAACAAGCTAAGCGTGACCCAACTAGTCAAAAAATAATGTGCCTTTTACAGAACCCAAAGAAAGATTAATTTGAATTTCCAAAAAGGACACCACTGGTCCCAATCCTGAATCAGATGGCTCTGGTCCACATCCTATCTTCACCTGTATTTTCAAAGAGGTCTTGCCCTTAAGTTTTCTTGCTAAATTTCTGAACTCATTTCTCGAACACTGCATGCATGCTACATGCCACAAACATCTCATATTTACTGATATGATTCTAACATTTGGTGAAGAGTACAACATAGTAAACTATGTAGAGATAATAAATATACACACAAAAGGTAAAGCTTCCCTTTTCCTTACTTAATTAAGCATCACACTATGCTGACGTACAAGTGAATACAGGTATAGCATCACTGGACTTGAATAAACTAGCAGGGGAAGAGATGAAAGTTGTAAGGCAACAGATGTCACTCATCATGCTGTGGGAAACGATGTCTTCTACAAGGTACGTGACGAGGCTATATACGTAGCGAGGACCAATGAGACATCAGAAAATCGTAGCATTTAATGCGAATGGCATTAGGCAGTGCTATGAGCACAGTACACACCTGCAAGACCTACACATAGATCTGGAACTGTTTGCAGAGACTTGCTTGAAAATTCTGGAGAAGTTCCTTTACCTTATCGAACCGACAGCGGCAGTTAAGCGTATGATCATTCGAGAGACTAGGCTGCCGTTGTATTGATGTGACTCAAGAATTGCCAATTCGGCTCATTCTTGCATTAGATACAACTAAGTGCAAGGGGAAGTTTTCTTCTTAACAAGCTAAGCGTGACCCAACTAGTCAAAAAATAATGTGCCTTTTACAGAACCCAAAGAAAGATTAATTTGAATTTCCAAAAAGGACACCACTGGTCCCAATCCTGAATCAGATGGCTCTGGTCCACATCCTAACTTCACCTGTATTTTCAAAGAGGTCTTGCCCTTAAGTTTTCTTGCTAAATTTCTGAACTCATTTCTCGAACACTGCATGCATGCTACATGCCACAAACATCTCATATTTACTGATATGATTCTAACATTTGGTGAAGAGTACAACATAGTAAACTATGTAGAGATAATAAATATACACACACAAAAGGTAAAGCTTCCCTTTTCCTTACTTAATTAAGCATCACACTATGCTGACGTACAAGTGAATACAGGTATAGCATCACCATCCTTAACCTTGGTACTAGCTGCAGGTCGGAGGTCAGCATCACACCCTTCCCACTTCAGCCCCATGGAAAAAGTCCCTGGTATAATAATGATGGTACTATCACTGCATTTGCCTGGGCGGACTGAGGAAAACGGCGAAAACCCGTAGCCACGACGGGTGACGGCTTGATCGAGATTCTAACCGAGCACCTCTCTCATACTGTTCGGAAACGTTACCGCTATGCCAACCTATTTGGTGAGGTCTGCAATTTTAATGTCATTAAAAGAACTGCACTCCTGGCAAAGACAGTGCTTCGTGTTTGATTTGTTCTTCGACTCTGAAAATGGTGATTCTACACGGGTTCACTGGCAGACCTTATACTTGCTGCCCTAAGAACCTCAAGTTCAACATCCTCATACATTGTTGTAATCCACTAATGCACAGGTTTAAAATAATTATCCAAAGGTAATCAAAACTATAAACTATAAAACTAACCTTCAAGGCATCGACCCCGGTTAATCGCTTCTGATTCTGCTGATCGCGAATTATAATGAACGGACGACCATATTCATCGAACGCTAGTGTACCTGGCATAGACGCCATGGTATTATTTTTAGAATGTTCTGAACGATGATGAATACAAACGCTCTTTTCCACACAGAACTCTCACAAACTTCCTGCAATTCCTGAACTCCACAACATACTCTTGTCGCTCTTGTCGATATCGCGATTGATCTCACAGAAGACTAAGTAATACTACGTTAAGTGGGCACGGACTGCAAAACATCCATTAGCAACATCTGTGATCCGAGCCCGGGCGTTACTGTAACAAACTATGGGCGAGGATACACTGTCATTATTATAGTGCCATCTACCAGCAGTTGTGGTGAACTACTACACTCACTAATTCAAGGACTGAGTTATATAAAATTATTAAAACTTTGAGAACAAAATGATCACATGGTTATGATGAAATATCAGTTGAAGTCCTAAAAATTAGTGCTCCATTTATCATTTCTACGTTAACGTTTATTTGTAATAAAATGCTGTCTACCGGAAATTTTCCGGACAGGTTAAAATACGCTGAGATTAAGCCCTGTTTTAAGGATGGGTGCAGGAATGACCCCTCTTAATTATAGACCCATTTCTCTCTTGACTTCCTTTTCAAAAGTATTTGAGAAGATTATTTTGGCTAGACTAAACCAACATATTCATGACTATATTATAGCTAATGAACAGTTTGGATTTAGAAGTCAGTCTTCAACAACTATAGCTCCTTATGTGTTAATAAATGAAATATTAGATGCATTAAATAAGCGGAAAATTGTAGGTGGAATCTTTTGTGACTTAAAGAAGGCATTTGACAGTGTCAACCATGAGATTTTATTGAAGAAACTTCAATTTTATGGAATACGATGCAAATTTCTTGACCTGATCACATCCTATTTATCAGACAGAAAACAGAGAGTATTAATAGCCAGCACTGAATTTGATCATGCTGCTAGATCTAACTGGAATACTGTAAGATACGGAGTCCCACAAGGGTCCGTCCTTGGTCCGCTTCTTTTTCTTTTTTATATAAATGATCTCCCCACAATTTTCAACGATTCAGTTAAATCAGTATTGTATGCAGATGATACAAGCTTAGTCATTAGCAGTTTGAATAATAGCCAGTATAGTAAAGATGTTAATACCTCTTTCACTTGTCTTAATGAGTGGTTTAGTACAAACAGGTTGACCTTAAATTTTAATAAAACTAAACATGTTCAATTTGAGACAAAGCCTAGAACGAATAATGTAACTTCTATTCGATATTGTAATAATGGGATTTTAAATGATATAAACATGAAATTTTTGGGGATTGTTATAGAAAGATCGTGCACTTGGAAAGCTCATATAACTCAGCTTAGGCCTAAATTATGTAAGGCTTGTTATTCAATGAGGGTGATTAAACCCATCTTGCCCATTGAGACATTAAAAATGGTGTATTATTCCTACTTTCATTCACTATTGAGCTATGGAATTATTTTTTGGGGTAATTCACCCCTTAGTGTGCATATTTTTAGAATTCAAAAGAGTATAATTAGAGTCATGAGTGGGTTGAGACCTAGAGACTCTTGTAGAGAGGCATTTAGGGAATGGGGAATATTGCCGTTGCAGTCGCAATATATTTTCTCATTATTGATGTTTGTTGTGAATAATATGGGCTTGTATCATAAGTCAACGCAAATTCATGGCCTGAAAATGAGGCGTAATTTTGATCTCTATTGTCCTCAAGCAAATTTAACAACTTACCAGAAAGGTCCTTATTATTCTGGCATTAAACTTTTTAACCATCTTCCATTGAAGATTAAAGAATTGGTCTGTGATATTAAGCAATTTAGAGTGGCTTTACATGCCTTTTTACATCGTAAATCTTATTATACTTTGGATGAATATTTTAACTAGGATTGTTATTGAGTGTTTATGTTATTTATTTATATTTAAATTATAATGTAATTATATTGTAAATGTGATGTAATTGTAGTACATATAAGGGTATTAAGTTAATATCATGTTAATATTGTTGTATATATATATTATCGAGTGACTACCTGCTACTTAGCAGGCTTGTTGTGAGACCGGTTCTGTATCCAAGGGCTTCAGCCATGTAAGGATGTGTTGGAGCATGCAATAAATACAATACAATACAATACAATGAAGGAGCTGAGTCCTAGTTGCCAATTGTGCAGCTACTCAAAAGGCTCAAGAGCTTCCCAGCATTTTATGGAACCCGAAGGTTCATTACCGTGTTCACAAGACACCTCCACTGGTTCCTATTCTTTGCCAGATCAATCAAATCCATACCATTCCATTCTATCTCTCTAATATCCATTTTAATATTGTCAACCCACCTATGCCTCGGTCTTCCCAGGTGTCTCTTTCCAACTGGCTTTCCAACCAATATCCTATATGCATTCCTGTTCTCCCCCTTTCATGCTACATGCCCTGCCCACCTCATCCTCCTTGACTTGATCGTTCTAATTATACATAAAGAAGAGTACAAGTTATGAAGCCCCTCATTGTGCAGTTTTCTCCAACCTCCTGTCACTTCAACTCTCTTTGTTCCTAATATTCTCGTCAACACCTTGTTCTCAAGCACTCTCAGTCTATGTTCCTCCCTTAATTAATACCTTGGAAGGAATATATTACCGCTCAGCATGTTTTGTTATGTGGGCAGTCACGTCACTTGCGAAAATATGTACTGTCACATATAAGGGGTTGCATGATGAATAATTGTGGGTTCTAGATTTGATGATTGGATTTTCTGGACATCTCTACTACAATTGCAGTTGGTTATAACAGTTCACACATTGAACTTCTTATTGGTAATTAATCTCTCACTGTATTTCTTATGGGTTTGGAGTCATCTCTAGCCTTTAGTCTTCTACTACTCAGTATGACTGACTCATTGCTCTGTCAGTCAGAGTCAGAGTTACTTTACAGCTGGCGGTTTATTGCCGAACAGTACGTCCTGGCCCCAAGCCCCCCAGTTTTTTTTTTCAACTGAACACTTGCAGCAGTAGACCTTATGTAAGTTCCTCTCAGATGACAAGATGAGTTTGTCTCTTATGAATATGCTTGGTCTTATAGTATGCTATTGAAATTTCTCATTTTGCACTATAAACAACTATATACAACCTCTCATGTGGTTTGACATGCCCTGTCTGGCAAATTCCTGTCCTATCACTTCAAGAGAACCATATAGATACAACTGCCTTCAAGGGTTCCAGTACTGTGTTTGTCTGCATTGTGCTGGATATGCCTGCAATGTCATGGTAGACAAATCCATTGCCCAGCAATGGCCATGTATTCGTTGACAGCGTCACACTCTGGAACATGTTTAGCAAACTGTTACCTAGCAATGGCCGTCTCTGTTAACTTCACTATTCTGGCTTTCAGCCGACATGTTACAATACTTTACAAAAGTATAAGAAAAGACAGGAAACTTTCAAAGATAATGAAATTCTAAAAATCTTATAAACTTTACAATAATTATAACAAATTGAAAGATTAAAGCCCCATGAAAAATATCACCATAAACGAATATTTTAGAACATCAAAATGCAGGAAGTTTTAAAAATTTACAAAATAATTAAAATGTTTCTCAAATTTCTGTGTTTGGTCTTCTTGGAAATTTTTAAGCTGTAAGGTTTTGAAAATTCGTAAAGTTTCTGTCTCTTGTGTTGTAATTTTCCTTCACAGTCTCCTTCAATGCATGTAGTTCTTCAGTGATCTATACAATAGCTCGTTCAATATTGCTTTACAATTTGTAGAATGTGCTGGAATTGCAACCAAATTCATAACTATAGAAAATATTATGCAGCAATAATTCCTTTACCATTGCAATATAGGGCATGTACTACCCTGGTATTGACTTCATATGGCCTGGTTTCTTGTATGGTATGGAAGAAAATGTCACTAGATGTTTGTCACTCTTTAGTTCCAGTGATAGGGCTTGTCATATTCATGCCAAATTACAATGTCTGTTCCACCATAGTACCTGCACAGGTCTGTATTGGTTAGACTTGAACTTCCTCCTTTTATCAGTGCTTTTCAATTTGTCACTTTGTTAACACAAAGCTCCCAAAATTGGATGCAATTACATGACTACAATTTGCACATGAAACTAAACAAAATACAACATTCCATCGCTACAGAAGCCATTTTGAATGATCTTAAACAGTGCAGACATTATATGGAATGACATGGAAAGAAATTATGTAATTTCCCTGAAGCATGCAAAAACATGGAGGCTGATTTGCATGCTTTTGGAAGTATAACGGTTTTAAAATGTCAAAAACTACCCATGAACGTTGTCTCAAATCACAATAAATATGAACATGTATACACCAACATTTTATAAAAAATCAACGAATATAGATATCTGTGTGAATATTTTGTTAATATACGGTGAAAATATGGAATACATAAACTTAAAACACAGAAATGCCATTTTTATATGCTGCAGAGGCAAGAGGGAGTTACCCTTAAAAGCATATCTGATGATGGTTGTACCAGGTTTCTTCTCTCAAGCAAGAAGACATTATTGTCTCCTTTAGAGTTAAAGCCTATTGTACAACTTCTTGAAATTGAGGTCTGCTTTACCTCCTGCCTTGCTTACATGATGGTCTGGGCACCTTGGATGATGTCTCCTCTTTGACCTCAGAAGGCAGTTAACAATGTGATAGTGTTGAATTGTTATCTTCTGCACTTCTGTTAATAGGGACTTGGTCACCTGCTCCACGTAAAATTTATGTTTCAGGTCATAAAATTGTGACCAATTTGCCCCTTCTTTATTTCATAAGCTTTTGAATTAGAGTGCAGTTCTAACTTATTTATGGCAATTTGTTAACTGGCCAAATACAACCCTAACTCATTATTGTTATTTGGTCAAGTCCTTGTCTGGCATATATATCTTGGCATTTTGATCAGCAGATGCCTGTCCAACAGGTATACTGGACTCAAAACTGATATTTATTTTGTATGTCTTCTTTGTATTTCTATTTGACTGCTTTCCTGTTTGATGTCTGCACTGAATTTATAGTTTCCTTCCCTTGCAGGATCCCTTTGTTTTTGTTTACTTATTTTCTTTTTTTCTTCCATTAAGAGGATTAAGGGACACTAACTACTGTAGAGGTCAGGATTTCTTAGTGCTGTTTTGCCCTGCCATTTTCAATAGAAAACTACATAATGAGATCCTTCACAATGTATACTCTTTCCCAAAATTATTACAGTCAGATGGTTGTGTCATATAAGGTACATGGCTAAAATTAAAAATACTCCCACAATTTTGGTGAAAAAGCAAAAAGGGAAGGGAAAACTTGGGAGACCTAGTCACAGATTGGAGGATAATATTAAAATGGATCTTAAAATAATATGCTTTACATTGTGTACTGGATTTTTCTGACACAGGACAGGGTCCAATGGTAGATTAAAAAAAAAAAACACAGTCATGAATTTTCTGGCTTCACAATAGGTTCGGAATTTCTTGACTGGCTGAGAGGTGCAACCGATTACTCCTTTTTCATAATATACTTCACCTAATTTATGTATACGTTTATTTTATGTAACTATTGTATCTCAACAAAACTTAAATTATGAATTTGAGGGAATTGCGTACATTATCATGCAGTATAAATTGCCATGGGCCATGCATTGAATGGTGATGACTCAACGTCTTATGACTCCTTATGAAACTGGTGATTCAATCCTTTCCTTGACTTATAAAGTGTGATGTAAGCCCAAAGAGTAGGTAGCTAGGGGCTTTACAGCGGTACTTCCAAATAACAGCCAGTTGGCTTGCTGAATTTCTAGTATGACATCATATTAACATTAGACTGTCATCACGTAAAGGTCTTTGTCAAAAAAAGAGACGTTAACCATTTCCCAAGCAGTGAAGATGTGTTCGTATGCATTCTGTCTTTGTACAAAGGAACAAATGACTACTACCGATATTAAGTGCAAATATAATAAATACATGTAAATACAAGCAATAAATAAAGTGTATGTGTTGTGGAGTTGTTGCGAGTTTTGTCTGGCCAACTTTGTTGAAGCCAAGGCCAACTTAACGGCCCTGGTGATAGTCTCATGTTCCCGACTACAGAGGTGAGGCTATGTCATCAACTGCTTCCTCGGAGTCACTAAAAGGCGATTCACTGCAAGCAGCTGTGTCTGCCTTAACCCTACACTACGAGCAGCTGTGACCAACTTACCCCATCCATAACTCCACACAGCCCATGGAAGCTTACCAGCCACAGTGGCTTAGCTACTCAATAAACTTCATAACATTTGTTGTTTAATTCCATACAAAAAAATACACAACAAACTACAGAAATAAAACTACAGACAATTTTAAAATCATAAATATTTTATTTGGTGAGAGCAGACTATGGAAGATACTGATGGTAGTGCTGGTCATTAAGCTCTCATGAATTTTCTATAGTGAACTTCATTCCAATGCTTTCCCATTGGTCCTTGGCAGTAAAAATGCTAAAGAACTACAGACTGAAACAAAATTGAAATCAAATTATAAAAATATGATATAATCCCCTAGATAATGGACAAAGGTATTTTTTGTATATAATAATTTTTTTCTCATTGATTGTTTTTTAACAGCTCACCAGAGGTTACTTTCTGAAGGTCCCTCATCTTGTAAATACAGCAATACCTCGCATAGTCTGGCTTCGATCAGTTCAGATTCACTATAGTCCGGTTTGAAAATTTCAAAACAAACTAAATTTTAATTGAGCAAAATAAAAGTAAATTCTAAAAAATTAGTACACAAAATTATTTTTAATACATAAATGATTTGTTTTTTTCCTTTTATACAGTCAAGTCTATTTTTGTGCAGTTTATTTTTATGTGGTTTTAAAGTTATGCGATAAGATACATATTTCAATTTCTGCTGGGGTTCCCTGTTGTATATGTATGTACCTATGCTCGAGTCATTCATTCTTGAGCTCTGACAGATATTGCTGGAGGAGGTGGGGAGAGCACTACTTTAACAGAATTTTGGAAGAGCCACAACGTCATAAACGTTATCGGAAATATAGGCGAAGCATGACATGAATTAAAGGCAAGCAATATGAGGGCAGTATGGAAATATATCATATCACATTGTGCAAATGATTTCATTGGTTTTGAAACTCATTTTGCTGAAGTCACTAATAACATAGTGGAAACTGGACAGCAACTTGGTTTCAATGAGTTAGATTCTGTCAATGTAATTGAGTGCATCAAATCGAACACTAATGAACTAGATAATGAAACACTTCTTCTTAACATAGATGAACAATGGGATTATGAAGAACAGGAGGACAACCTAGACAACAACGACCGTGTTGAAGTGCGTGCATGAGAATTAACATCTGAACAACTATCAAAAATTATTGGAATGGTTGAAACCTTGTCAGAGTATATTATGGAAATTGATCCCAATATTGAACGTAGCCTTAAAATTTCCCGAATTATAAACAATACAATTTGTTGCTACAAAGAAATGTATGAAGAGAAAAGACCAAAGAAGAAAAATGTGCGGACATTAATACTGCAATTTTTAGAGAATAAAAAATGAATTGCAAAAAACATGAATTTTTTAAAATTATTTCTAATAAAGACATTTGAATTTGTTAATCACATTTTATTTATTAAAAAACACAGCTTTTTTTGGAACCAATTATCATTTTTTGTACTTGTTTAGTTCCTCACTTAGTCCAGTTTCAAACAGTCTGGGATATTGGCAGAACCGATTACCTGGACTATGTGAGGTATTGCTGTACTGGAATGACTGTTTCAGGATATAACTGATACTAACCGAACATGATGGATCCTAGGAACAAGAATGGCACTAAACAGCTGATCTCCAGGAACACAGGGAAGGTGATATTTCCTAAGAGGGCCCCAACTCGGCCTGTCATGACAGTAACACTTACTGCCATTGTCCTGAAAATAGTATAAAGCATCATATCGCTATCATAAATATAAGTACATGGTTAAAACCCTTATTTGATGCCCTGCAGCTCATAAAACTATGGTACACAAATTTTGATTGTATGAATATTTTATGCTAATATCTGAAATGGCTATTCAAGTAGACTATGGACTAAGTTGCAGGAGTGGAAGAGTCCAGATAGAAGACATAGACACAGATAGGAAGATATTAAAATGGATCATATAGAAATAGAATCTGAGGGTATGGACTGCATTCATCTAGCACAGGATAAGGGTTTGTGGTGGGCTCTCGTAAAAATAGTGGAGGACCTCTGGTTCCCATAAAAGACAAAGAACTTCTCAACTAGCTGAATAATATATCTTCTTAAGAAAGGTTTTACTCCATGGAGTTTGTCACTTAGTTACATGACTTTCAATTGGAGCTGGACTTTGAACTAGACCACAGTCTCAAGAATGTAATATTTACCTTAGACTAGTAGGAAAGAGATCCACTACCACACTCATTAGAGCATTAAAGCACATTGAACCAGAGCCAACAAACAGTGAAGCAAGAATGAGCAGCCCTTCCATACTGTTTGACCAGTACATAGGCACAACACAGCAGCAGGACAGCACATAACCAGCAACTGCAAGAGAAGTAACTGTTACAATTCTTACCTTGCCTTTATATAATATATGGTGAAACAGTATCCCATAAGGCTGTGATACTCAAAACATCAAATAGGACCACCAGGATTGCAGGGAGAAACAAAAAAGTTCATTTTCAAAAATAATTCTTAATTCAGTTAAATGTCCATCAGTAGTCAATGAATGCAATCAATATAAGACATTGGCATTAAATATCGTAAAAGCCTGAATATAAGGCAAACCCTTATTTTTTCAATGAAAAAATCAGACTTTTACTCTTTTGAAAAAAATTGGATATGTCATTTAGTTCTGATGATTGTAAGCAAAAAGAAGTAAAAACTACAACAATAAGGGAAAATAAATTCATTATTTAATATGTTAGATATAATTTTAGGTGCTGTCACAAATGTCCTTGGAATTAGCACTTAGAACTCCTCATAACCTTCTCCATATTTGTTCTTAAAGACCTAAAAATAAGGCAACCCCTCACATCTAAGAAACAGTATTAAATAACCTCACCTTATATTTGGGCTGATATAACTTATTTCTAGAAGTTCTGATTATACAGGGAGGTTCTTACCTCTGTTGATTGGTTCAAGGCTTCGTGCATCGCGGTGACTGATACACTGGCAGCTGCAAGGAGCATACATATATTGCCGATGAATCAGTATGCCTGATGGCCAATAATGTTTGGAATTAAGAGAAGTTATTAACTTTATGGACTGTCTGATGGCTTTATGTTTCTTGGCAAACAGTGCAGTTCATATGAGGGAATTTGTTTATGAGTTGTCAGCAGTGGGTGGCAGTTATCAGTTCCATTAGCTGTCTGTTCTCAGCTACAATTAGTGATCAGTGGGTTCTGTTATGGTGTGGTATACTTTTGAGCAATGTGTATTTCTGTATGACACCTATGTGAAATACAGATCTGCTAGGAAGTGTCAGCAAAAATTTTGATATAAATTTCATGACAAGTTCCCAGCTGACAAACAATTCAAAATTTGGTGAATAAACTTTGATCAATGGAACTCTTTGTAGAGAAGAAACAAAAACATAAGTGCCGAATCCTTACTGAAGAAAAGTTAGATGACATAGGAGCCAGATATGAACATACACCTAGAAAATCACTGAAATATCTAGCTCAAGAGACTGGAGTGTCAAAGTCTAGTGCAAGAAGGGCAACACAATTGCTTAAGCTTAGACCCTATAAAACAACAGTAATCCATGCCTTGTAGCCATACGATCCAGAGAGCAAGGTTCATTTTTGCAGTCAGTTTTTACCGCCTGTCATTGAAGGTGAGATCATTCTGTACTTGACATTCTTTACTGATGAAGTGTGGTTTCACTTGCAAAAAATAATTACTACTGGAGTACACAGAGTCCGTATCTAACCCATGAAGTCCTGTGCCCTCCAGTGAAGCTTCATGTCTGATGCTGTAAGCACAAGGATTGTTGAACCTGTGTCTTTTAAGGAAACAATTAATTGTGAAAGATATGTACAGGCCATTCTTGGGCAGTTCTTTCCCGAGTTAACAGAAGAAGAAAAACTCTATGGCTGGTTTCAGCAAGACTCAACTACTGTCCACACTGTATGTCTTTGAAGGCTTTGTCCAATGTCTTCGGAGACAGAATTATCAGTATTGCCATTTGGCAAGCACGTTCACTCAATCTTAAACCTCATGCTTTTTCTTCTTGGGTTATTTGAAAGGCAAAGTTTACAACAGTAAACGGCGAATGGAAGAAGAATTAAAAGAAAATATTTGTAGGAAAGTTGTATATATTCCTGTAGAACAGCTTCAACATGTAAATCAAAATCTCTTCTGACGGTGTGAGGAATTTCTATGTGTAGAGGAACAGCATTTTCAATACCCCCTGTGATCTATGATTTATAATTGCTTCATTCTAAGAGTTGTCCACCAAAAGGCATACTGATTCATCGACAAAATTTGTATGTGCCTTGCAGCCAGTGGTGCACTGGTTGCTATGAAATGCAAAGCCATGAACTGGTCACCAAAGGTACGACCCTCCCTGTATATAATCAGATAATAGTTTAATTTTACCTGAAAATCTGAAATAATAAAAACCTCTCATCCATCAAACTATTTAAAAAAATTTAAGAGTGTGAGTCAGTAAATAGGTCACAAATGGATATAAAAAGTAAAATATCTGGTATTCTAACCTGAAAAATCCTTTATTTTTCAACATATCCTCCACCAATATCGATACACTTGTCCCATCCCTTCACCAGTGCATCAAAACCAGCAGCACAGAAGCCTTTTGACTTTTGTCTCAGTCACTTTTGCACCTTCATTTCAACCTTTTCATCATCAGCAAAATGTTTGCCACCAAGGTGGATTTTTAGCAGGCCATCACTAGAGGCCATGGCTGTATCTAAAGCGGATGTTCGAGGCCTCGCCATAGCTCAAGCAGTTAATCGCTGGCTTACCACAGCGGCGGCCTGGGTTCAATCCCGGGTCTGGTCAAATTGGATTTGTGGTGGACAAAGTGGCGCCAGAGCAGGTTTTCTCCGAGTACTTCGGTTTCCCTTGCCAATCCTCATTCAACCAATTGTTCCACAATCACCCTCACCTATCATCTGGGGCTGGTAAAATAGGCCAGAAGTGGCTGCAGTACAAGGACTTAGTCCCACCCCAATAGCTATAAAAAAAAAATAAAAGCGGATGTTCAAGAAGTTCCCACTGTAGTTCTTGAGTTCTGTCCTTCTCTCCTACCATAAACAGGAAACGTTTCTTTATGAATATACTTTTGCATTGAGTCCTATTGCCTACGTAAAATATATAACACTGCTGCTCTTCATAGTACACCCTCAAGCAGTGAAACCAGCCTCTGAACATGTGCATGTGCATCTGCTATCTAGACTGTCATGAAGTTGGACTGTGTTGCTTCTTAGTTTTACTATTAGAAAACCTATCACATCCATTACAGCTGTTTTACATCCATTTGTGACCTATTTACTGAGTGTTATTCAATGTACACTGAATACAATCATATTAAAACTTTATTTGTAGTAATTCATAGCTAGTAAGAATATACAGTGCTCACTTAATAGGCAGAGCCAGTGAAACAAATTGTAAATGAAAATCTTATGAACAGGATAAACTGTTCATTGTTAGGTGATATTTACTCAGATCAGAGAAGTCAAACTCTGAAAGAATAAAAAGATGGCATTTATGATGCAATATTTATTGTCTTAGAAAATCGAAATGAACAAAAAAAATTAATATAACATTCAAATTTGTGTATTTTAACACTACACAAAAAGAAGAGAAAAATAGAGATTTTTACAGATTCCAATGTAGTTTAAGCTCTCTAAAGACTACCTTTTGTGTTTTTCTATCAATTCTGACTGTGTTTAGGGGGCTATGATTGATTAACGAATATCCAAATTTGAAAATGTCATCCATGCAAACTATTTTTCCATAAAGTTTAGATTATCAGTATATTTAGTAAGATGATATTCCAATTTGGTGTGAAACTATGTAAAGCTTGATGCATTAATTTATGAGTATGTGTTACTTAACGTACTCAGTATCTTCTTCTTGCCAAGGTTGCTAATGACTGAGCTGGCCATCAAATTGAACACTGCAGTTACGATTCCAACAATGATTGAGTATATGTATACCGTGTCACCAGACTGTACCTAAAACAGAACAAATATGTCTGCTATGATCATACAGAATATTTATTTTTCTTCATGCTCTTATCTTTGTTAAAGGGTAGTACAGAGCCACACAATTTATAGTAAAAAGAAACTGAAAATGAATGTATTTCACAACAATGTCACTTTCTGAGACATGACATTAAAACCACTGCCTAATATTCAACAGATTCTCTCACAAAATATTTATAGGCACAGCACTTAAGTGGATTAATGTTTCAACTTTGCATGAGACATATGTAAAAGCAACCATGAAAAGTACTATGGAGAAAACTGCTATATGCCATATGTCTTTCCTTTGCATTTAAATCCTCCATAGCCAGTTTCTTCTACTGAAAGAAAATTTGGCCTTCCTAATCCATTTCAAATATGAGAGATTTTCTGTGATATGCATGAACAAAAGTTCATGGAAGACAGTAACTCCAATACAAAATTTATAAACCTGTGAAAGATCTCTTAAAGTTTTTCAGATTTTGACACTGTAGATAATACCTTCAAAAATTCATTATTTCTATTCATTCAGGAGGAACATGACCCCATTTCAGTTACCCATCTCATGCAATGCAAACATATGTATGGTCGTCCTCGTCACTGCCGCTGCCAGCAATAACAATAACAATTGTAGGAGGAGGAGAAGGAGGAGAATCAGAAGAAGAAGAAGAAGAAGAAGATCAACATCATATCTTAGGGGCAATACTCTGACTCCATCTCAATTAAAACTGTTTCGTACTGGACACTCCACAGTGTCCCTTGTGGCATCTGATATTTCCTTTGCCTGTAAGTTTATACTTCCGTATTTGAGAGGCAGAGAGGTGCACAAGTGCATCCATTATAAAAAATGTGGTTATACCAGGCATTTCTGTAATTTGTTATTGTGTACAACATTTACAACTTTTAGTTTTTAGCAGTTAATGAAGTAAAATATACACAGCACAGCGGGCCAAGAAATCATAACAGACAATATTAAGAATCTCCCTACTCAAGTTACATAAGCGGCACAACATCGGCCACCTTGAAGAGAGACGACAGGTGTTATTGACACGAACCGTATGGTTTATGAATTTTGATTTCTAACAAAGTTTTTAAAACTTTAAAACAACTTTAAATATTTCTATAACCAGAAAGGCTGCTGTGACTGATAGATGGAACATTGTGTACTTGGACATTATATGTGTATTTGATATGACAACTGTTGTGATAGTGGTTTCTAATGATCCAAATGGATCGAAACATGTAAGGCTAGTAGTGAATCATCAAGTGAGAAAACTGAAATAGTCACATTGGACAGACTTGTCTTTTATAATTGTAAAAATTTTAGTTTATTCCTGTACANGTAGTGTGACGGACCAAAATGAAACAAATCCACAAAAAAAAAAGAAAATTATTTTAAAATACTTTAAAATCAGGTGTTGGTAAAGTTCCAGAAGAATCTGTAGTAGGCTATGAGAAGACCTTAACAACATTAACCACTTCATACATCTCTTTCTTTCAACATTGGTGTAACTTACAGGAACACATGGTTTATCAGTCACAACAATTGTTTCATTGAATGCAGTTTTTGGCCCAGTATGAGATGTTAATATGTCACACATGGTCACATTTCCAGACATGGACTTGTTGACGATGAAATACTCCTCCATGATGGCAAACAGCTGAGGTAACCATAATCGTATTGTGTTCATTCTGTAACAGTTAGTTTTTCTACTTTCAGTATTCTCATAAAAAATGTAACTATAAATTGAGGTACAAAGCCTTAAAAATGCTCTGAAGACTATCAAGAATCATAAAAGGAACAGAGAAATGGAGAAAACTGCACAACGATGATTCACAATGACTAATCATCAAAATTCAGAAGGGTGAAATAGGTAAGCAGAGCATACATACATACAATATCATATTTAAGCATCCTGTTGCACTCTACACGATAAATGATATAAACTCCGTCCCAAGTGCAAACAATATATTATATGTCCTTGAGCTTGCTCTCCTTTACACTACATGTTTCGGCCTCAAACGGCCATCATCAGGTGTATACACTCATGTTGCTGTTACACCGTGCTTAGTTTAAAATTTAACATTTAAAAACATCTTGTTCCTTTCCTTGTTATTATCAACATCTACTTCGTTGATATCTGTCTGATTTTAGATTATTTTACACACGTTAATTTTGATTTTCCTGTAGTAGCACTATAAAATCTTTAGTTCTAATTTTAAATCCTTTAAAATTTTTCTCTAAATTTTAAATTTAAAATTTAAAATTGTTAGGGTTACTCGCCCTATGTCTAAAGTGCTGCAGTGGATAGTTCTTATTTCCACACTGTACAGGTGTTATTCTGTGTAGTCTTCCTGTGTGCGTGCCGCTGCTATTCTTTACTATGTGTGCAGCTGTCTTTGGCGCAATAAACAGCTCATCACTCTGATGACTGATCACTCTGAACTGAATGTGATCACTGATGATTGCGAGCTTTGGGCTCCACTTTTATACCATGCTTGCTGGGTGGAGCTTAAACTTGCAGTTGTGATTGTGAGCGCTGATTGGCTAGCACACATGATGATCTACAGGTGGGCTGGACATTGAGTGCTGTATAAATACGAGTGGTGACAGCAACGTGCGGCAACGTGATATTGACTAGGAGTGAGTGCTGTCTGTTAAACTGGAGAAACCGCTTGTTAGTATGTGGGATGTTCCCACAAAGTCATCAAAGATAAAATATATTGAGAGACCAGTGTTAATATTGTGACATGTTGACCCCTACCTCCCCAGCGGTACGTGGCGGTAACGTAACGCTCGCGTTACTACGGTAATAGGCGAGTTCCCGCCCCGCCACTCCCCTCCGCGGTGACGTCACCGAG